GTATTTGATAATTATAAAATGATCATTTGGAATGATCATTCGGAGCGTTTGGAATGATCGTTTGCAATGATCATTTGTAATGATCATTTGGAATGATCATTTGCAATGATCATTCAGAGCGCTTGAGATGATCAGTTGGAATGATCATTTGGAATGATCATTCAGAGTGACCATGTGAAGCGATCATGTGAGATGATCATGTGAAGTGATCATGTGAAGCGATCATGTGAGATGATCGTTTGTGATTATGAAAATATCTAATCACAACAATATTAAGATAATATTTTTATTTATATAAAATTTTTTAATATATGTTCAATATTATTTAAGTTACAAAATATTATAAAAAACAAAAAAATAAATAAAGAATAGATATAATAAGATAAATAAAAAATAAATATAGCAGAATAAATAATAGATATATATAATAAATAAATATTATAAAATAAATAATAAATAAATATAATAAAATAAATAATAGATAAATATTATAAAATAAATAATGAATAGATATTATAAAGTAAAAGAATCATTATTGATTAAGAAATAATATGATATTTATATAATTAAATAATTAAACTATTTTTATTATTTTAATATTTTTCTACTATTTTTAGGAATTTTCATATTTTCTAATATTTTGAATAATTTTTTAATTAGTAAATAATTATAATATTATATAATATTATTAATTAATATTAGGATCAGTTTGAATCATATTATAAATTTTATATTTACTTAAACACTTTTATTTATATTATATGTGATTCTCTTTCAAATAATATTAATAATTATAATAATTGATACTAAAATCTGGTTAATATTAAAATTAGTAATACTATTGGCTAATTAATTTTTATTCTCTAATTTCATTGATCAATTTCAATATTAGTCAGATTTCAATATCAAGTATAATAATTATATCTTGCATTCTTTTTAAACAATACTAATATTTAGTATTTTCTTTTTTATTATGAATTTCTCTTAAATAGTATTCTTATATTTTCTTTATATTTTTTAAACAAAACTCTTAAACAATATTTTATGTTCTCTTTGTATTGTATTTTTTTTCTTTTTGTTTGATTTTGATTATAGTTACAATATTACTATATATATACGTATATATAATTACAGAAAAATATATAATCAAATCTCTTTATAATCACATTTATTTATAGTTATCCTCTATAATTACTTTGCTTTTTCATTTATATATAAAAATAGTAAAAAAAAATTACATTTTCTTTATAGTTGCTTTTTTTAAGAGTAATAATTATAATTTCAATAAAACTCAAAATTTTTATGTATAATTATTTTTCAAGTAAAATAAAACTCATAAAATTTTCTTGTAATAATATGATAACAAAAAAATAATCAATTAAAAAGTGCTTTGTTATTATATAGTTCAAGACTTTTAGCTAGAAATTTATAGTATCAAAAACTACTTTATAATTTAGAATAATTTATTAATAAATAACATCTAACATTAAGCTCGATGAAATACATAATGACAGTGCCAACCTTTCGTGCTATATTACAAAAGAAACCTAAACTACCCAAACAAACTCCAATCGACAATCTGGACCGAGGCCAAAATTCGTTTAAATTCCTCGTACCCCACGTGCACATTACCTTCTTGCGCATAAGATCTGCTACTACTTGTCTCACCGATTAATATAGGAAGATTGTAGGTGATAACAAGGTCAGTCTGGTGTTGTGGTAATCGAAAGACGGCCAAAAATATATTTACCAGATTACGCGCGGACGAATCACGCTCGTTGAATTTGGAGACCATTTGTTGGCCAGTTGCAAAATACATGAGTGTATTTGATCTATTTAATTGTTTTATTTAGAATAAGCTTAAAGTTCCAAGTTAAGCAAAAATAGATGGATAATTTATTTACGGAAGTTTGGGAACTTCGGCTGGTGTAAGAATTCCAGTTTGTTGAACTATGGTCGTGTCTTCAGCATCATTGTCAAACGCAACAGACGAAAAATGGTAGCTGGATGTTTGAATAAAAAATCAAATCATTGTAAATCACGAAAATTAAAGAATACAACCAATTAATAATCACCTCGCAGCTTCCTCATTTGACGCTTCGTTAACCAATTCTAATATCTCCACAACAATACTTTGATCTGTGTGCGTATCTACGAAAACTTCTTGATTATCCGGAATTTCGCGGATATCGCTTTTTTATGCAACCATCGCCAAAAATATATTTAATTCCTCTATTAGAATAACATCTATTTAATGCGTTTTTACTCATTTTGAGTTCTATACAAGTAGAAAAAGAAATGCGTTAGGAACCTAACATCTGTAAATTGAGGAGGAATGTGCGCGACAATTGCACCTCCAAACAGTTGCTGGAGTGTTGGTGGTGGTTGATCGTTCATTACAAAAAGAAATTGATGATCATCTATAGACCAAGTTGATACGATTTCTATAATGACGTGTTTATCGTTATATTGTATCTCTCGAGTATGTTATTCTTACATATATGTCTTTCAGTCTCGGAAGACACTGTTCTAACTTTATTGTTTTGAATAAAGTGGCTTCAGGTTTTGGTTATTCAGGTGGACCAAACAGATGTTTTATGCTATGGCAAGAATTTCGAAAATGTTATGCCATGGCTGACTTCCCCGAGGAGTGTCTTGCACAAAAAGAAGACTATCTAGAATGTTTACACCACACAAAAGAAGTACATGTTTTTCATGTTGAATATTGATTAAATAAACAATGCAAACTGATGATAATAGCTCGATTATACGTCTATTTAGAGACAACGAGCAAAACTAATTAAACAGGAGGAAATCAGGCAACGAAAAAAGGCGGAAGAAGCAGCACGTAAACATGCCGATTCTGCGGCAAAAAGTAAAGTATTTAGACTCGGTATAATTGAAAAACCTTCTGGAGAAAGTGAGAGCGAAAATTCGAGTCGATGATCCATTATTATAACGCATGTACAGATGTTACGGATTTTGTGATGTTCAAATCTTGTCATTTTATGAAATATTTTGTATGATCACATTTATTTACAAACCAACGAGGTATAATTGATCTTCAATGTTAGATCTTTTGCGGGATATTGCTTGTATATATTAATGACAACAACATTCTACGTGTCAGACATCTGGCAGCACCTTGACCTACTTTTTTGCTTTCTTTTCGATGATTGACGCCATAAGACTAGTGTAGAAGGAATTAATTAATTAATTATATAAAAATATCAATGATGATGATGGTATTAATTAATTACTAAAAGTAAAAATCTTATGATTAAATGTTTTTGTAAAAGCAAAGAATCGAAGAAAAAGCCGGTTTTCAGTAAGAAAAAAGTGAATATATGCTGCGGCTATTTTTGCGGAAAAGCTCGAGTCAAGACAAAGTAATTGGTTTTCTTCGTTATTCGAGTATATTTGATGAGTGTTCAATATTTTCAAAGTCACTTTCATTTATCGAGGATACAACACTTTTCCCTTTTCCCTTTTTGTCCTTTTCATCTTCACTTTTCGGAACAGAAGTACTCGCCGCATTAGACGAGTTACTATTATTATTATTATTGTTGTTATTATTATTACTACCATTAGATGTAGTCGAATCTGCTGTGACTGTACTTTTAGATGGTGCAGGATCTGTTTGTGTTTGGTTCCCTCGTTGATTACTAGGTATTGGAGGTGGTGCTGGGGGCAATGCACTTAATGTTTGTGTTAGAACACTGATAGCATTATATATTTGTCCATCCACATTATGTAATATTCTTATTCGCTCTGAAAGTGCCTCCCGTGTTTCCGTTTCTAATAATCGAATTTGCTCTTCAGATAAATGATCTAGAGTGGGTGGTGGATTTCCATTTCCTAAATTAGGTGGTCCAGTGGAATACCTTCCGTGCAATGTAGGAAAAAGTGGGATTAATCCCGGGATCTGAGGGATATTGTGGGCATTAGGTATTGGTAGTTGTGTGGTTGATGTTCCGTAAAAAGATGACGTTGAAGATTGTGTTGGTGGTTGTGGTGTGGTGGTAAAATTCTGAAATGACGGTGATGATGATGATGATGATGATGATGACGATGATGGTTGTCTTGTCAGTGATATTGGCTGGCGCCTTGTTGTGTTATTAGATTGAGTTTGAGTTGTAGACGACGACGATGCCGAAATTGCTTCAACCTGTTTTTTTATTTCCTTTAATAAATATTTAATAGAATTAACTACGAACAAAAGCCAAGTTACATACATCATTCGTCATTCGTTCTTCAATATTTGTGGATGTATGTGATGCTGCTGTAGAATCCGACTGATTATCAGTATTCGGCTGAGGGTTAGGATTGGGATTGGGATTGGGATTCACATTTTGATTGGGGATAGGAAGAGGTTGTCCCATCCATGGGACTTGCATTGCTGGAGGTGGAAACACCATAAATCCGGGCATTGGATTAGCAAAATATCCTTGTGGGAAATTAGCTCCAACTGGTATTCCGTGTATATGTGGTGGTGGCGGTGGTGGAACATTACGAGGAACTGGCCCAGGGCGTGCAGCCTGTTGTGGTGGTTGTTGTGTTGGTGGAGCTTTTATAAATATATTCAGTTAATGGAAAATTTAAATGTTTAAATATTGTCAAAAGAAACTCTCTCACCTTCTAATACAGGTCTTCGACTATTATGCAAAATTGATATGTTTGTTCAGAAATCGTATAAAGTAAGACCGAATAATACATTATAAATTAATACATACCATGTAGGACAACTTTGTTGTCTTTCCAACCAACTCCTGAGACAGTGAAAATGGAAAATATGTCCACAAGGCAACTTTTTAGGCGTATCACCTGACCCATTATTAGGTGGCTGCTGTGGTGTTCTATGTTGTGCGGCCCTTGCAGCATCTCCTTGCGGCGCTTCGGCAACATTAGCAACTACATCCACCACGGCTATCATTTCTTCACGACATATAATACATGTACGATCACTTAATCTTTCAAGCTCTTCAACTGTTGCATTCGGGTACCGCTCATTCATGTTTCTCGTTGCCCGACGATATCTGACCAAGTCACCACATTTTTGTAGAAATGATCGCAACGTGACATATACGTCGCGAATGATGTGAAGCGGCAGACCATATGATTTTAGGATGCTTGCGAAAAATATGAGGTACGTGATCAATTTGAAAAAATCTATAGTCGAATTAAAAAATAGGAAGTTCTTTGAATTAATTGCTTGATTAGTTAAACAAAATAATTATTTGTAAATGTACGAATGCAAAAAAGCGTAATAGTCAAAAATTTTCACCAGTGACAAGTTCCAAGTAAAACACATATAAAGATTTATTTTGCCATGGTTCCTCGCGCCTCAATTCGATTATATTCAAGACATATTTGCAGAATGTTGATAATATTGTTGCGGCAAGAATTGCATACTTCAAATATCAATAAATAAATAAAGTGTGTGAGAATGATGATCCCAAACAATAACAAAATTATTATAAACAAACAATAACAAAATATCATAAAAAGAAATATCTCACCTCAAAAGCAAACATAATCATCATATTAGGCCCCTTTTCCATTGTGATACCAACGGCATAAAGGACCAAAATGAAGTCCATGGTACACAAGATTTCCATAAGGGCAACCATTCGAAGGTGAAAAGAAAAACGCACCACCCTTAATTGTTCCATCTATATCCTCATAATGAATAACAATGACGATTTTCATGATTAATATAGACCATATAATGTAAATTATAATGTCGAGATATTCATATTACTCACATATTCAACTCGATCCTGGCATAGCCAATGAAAGATTTTCAAGAACAATAATGTTGTAAAAGTCACGAAGAATTTTGTGTCAAACTCATCTCGAAAAATAGTCATTGCCAAGCAAGTTTCAGTAACTGCGTACCAAGCTCTTTCATATAAATGCTTTTCAGAAAATGTTAGATAATAAACAATGATAGATATCAATCAAGATGTGTAGCAATGTTCTTACTTCAATTTCCAAAGCTCGCAATCTTCCAAAGAATATGTGTTGTAAAATTTGCCCAAATATTATCATCAAGAAGAATCCCATATTCATCAGAATCTGATAAAAAAAGAATTACAAAGTTCACCGTTAGATTGATGCATTTTCACCTAGATCTACGAACAATCGAGTGTACTTTATAAGATCATAAATAAATCTCATATAAAGGGGTCTCTGACTCGAAAAGACTTTAGTGAAATCTATAAATGTAAAATAACATACCATCATACATGCACTAGATTTTGAAAGATATATGCAAGCTGCATAAAAATTACTTCTCTGTCGGAAGGCCGCGGCCACAACCAAAAAGGCTAAAAAGGTGCTAACCGCACCATAGACTACAAGTCGCACCATTTTCTTTGTATATTTAAGTTGTTAATGTATTAATGGAAAGTTTTGAATGCGAGAAAAGAATCAATACGTTATGTACGTGGCATTAAAAAGTTCGTATAAATATTTGTGTGTTGTGTATTACAAATTTAAATGGTAAGGATCTTTAAATATCCATCATATGCACATATTAGTATGTATATATCCGTATCGATATGTTGCGTATATAGTTTAATTTGTTTAATTTATATATACGCAAGTATTCATAGGGGTTGCCCATCTAATAAAAGTCGGATCAATAAACAACCCATTGACCTCTCATTTGATCAAACGCGTCTCTAAAGCCCTCCATAGTTTGTTCACAGTCACTACCGGCACGTTTTTGCATAGCTTCGGGCATCCATTCTTCAATTTTTTGAATGCGCTTTTTATTGGCTGGATGGGTGCTTAGAAATTGCGGTGGCGCAATTTTTTGTGCTTGATCCATCCTTTTCCAAACGTTTTTTGCTTCCCTGGGATCGAAACATGCTTGAGCCATTAATAGGAGCCCAATATAATCTGCTTCTGTTTCACATTTTCTCGAAAAAGGCATCCTGATGATAGTCAATCAAACGATTAATCAAGTTAATGATAATTAATTAATTATTATGTGAAATTTCAACAATAACTTACATTATTCCAAGTTCAAAAAACACGCGACTTAATAAACCTGGATCAAATATTAAACTGAGGAGAATTTGAGTAAAAAACAAAACCTTAACAAAAGAAAGCTTTTCTGCGCTATGACGGGCTATCTGATGTCCAATCTTAATTCAAAAACAAATTATTTGTTAATAACAATTAAACTTTTGATCCACTGTTTTAATGAATATCTACTTACTTCGTGTCCCAAAACCGCGGCCATTCCATCTTCATTTTGAGTGATCGGTAGAATGCCAGTAAACACAAAAATTTTGCCACCTGGAAGAACGAATGCATTTTTTTCTGGTGAGGAAATTACATGAAACTCCCAATTCAGATCTAAAATGGAAAAGTGTTAAAAGGATCCAATTCATCGCGAGAAGGAAAAAACCATGCAACTAATAATATACAGACGTTCCATCCCGCTAACTTTTATTATTCTCTCGGCGACTCCACGCACAAACTGTGTTTGGAGGGACAAGGGTGATAGAATTTTGCCACGATATATTGACATTATCTGACGGTAAGCCTGTTGGGACATGAGTTCCTCCTGTTTTGGTGTGATATCAATGAACCGCCGTCGTCCAGTCATTGGCACAGTTTCCAGGTGATTATAGTAATATACGCCTAAATTTTTTGTAGATTCGGAGATTCATTGATTTTGAAACATATCAACATTCGTTCTCCCATTAATTATTGAAAAGTCCAATTATCCCACCAGCAAGGCCGCCTATCGCCCCAGTATAGACCCAAAAGACTTGTTTCTGATAGAAAGGTGGTGCCTGTTGAAACCGTCTATACTGGCTAATTGGTGGTGGAGGTGTACGACGAATTGGAGGTTGATCATTGAAGATGTGTACTTGTCGTCGAAGAGACGGGACTTTCAAAGGGATAATTTTAAGCAATGGCTTTTGAATGGAACTATTTTTGAAGAATAAAGAATTGCTGTTGTTGCAAATATCCGAGCTCAAGCCTAAAGTTAAACACGAAAATTGACGGGTTCTTCTCAGCTGATTCAAAAGATTAGTCTTTAGCTGAAAACTATTCTGTAAAAGCGAGTATATTCTGTCGCAAGATGCCCTGCTGGTATTTAGGATAGTAGAAACCATTTGGACGATGACAATCAATACGCAACTAATGTTGGATGATCTTTCAACATATCGATATGTAATTAAATTAAAACCATTAATGTTCTCACAATTTAAATATATAGAGCCTCTTTCTCTGAAGGAATATCCTCGAATGAAAGGTGATGTTCTCACGAGAACACAGAACATTATCATTAGCACGCTGTTTCTATACTAAATATTATTATAGAAAGGTAAAATTAATAGTATAGAATTTTCTCTGTTTTAAAACTGGTGTTAGCAACTCAACAATACAGGGACCCCAAGAAATAGAAACTAAAGAATTTGTTAAGAGCACAGTTGGACGATGTGTCCGTTTCTGGTGTCGTGTCTGAAATGACGGAAATGACAAAGAACATGTTTTAATGCTTCGTGAACGGTGGAAATATCCATAGAAAATTATTTTTGGCCACCAGAACAAGAAAATAAGTTTGACCAATCTAAACGAAATCAAAAAAAGCGAGAAGCACATTATGAACCTGTTGTTACGGAATAATCAAGGAAAATTGTCAAGTGAATGTTTACACTCGAGAATGATATGCATTTGTTGCAGAGTTGCGCATGATATTTCGAGTCCTTTACGCCCTCAGAACGATTTTCTTTAACTTATCCCACTTTTAAAGAGAACCTCAGCCGAGTTATTAATGTCTTTGTGCAGGTAAATTGCCTACACCAAATTCATTATCCGTATTATTCTTTCTTCTTCCTTTACGTCATTCCCGTCGCTATTATCAGCTTTATTCTTCTCCCTCTTCGTTACTGTTTTCATCGGATTCTGATTCAATTGATATAAATTAAATCATTCTCAGTGTCAATCAATATCGCATTCGATTTGATTGTTATATAAACAGAACTATAAGCATTGCATGTTATCTGAGTGATGTTTAGTCTCTGCTCTCGCGCAAAGATGACATGATAAAAAAAAGACATGATTGAATAACTTCATTTATTATTAGCGTTAGCAGTTCTTTGAAATTTGTGCTCATACCAAATAAATTTTGCACATCAGAAATCTGTGCCAGGTTTTGTCGATCATAGACCAGTAGCCAATAAGAATGCGTAATTTTTTTTTTAACATCCAATAAGAATGCAGAAATTTTTTATCAGACAATACAAGAAATGCATAAATATAGCTTGGAGTACTAATTAAAAACGTCGGGGAGACAATTTTATATATAATCTGTATCTCACCTCTAACCATAACCCTAATCCTAAAACCAACCTTTTAATGTTAATTAACTGGCGTCATACTTTCCAACATTAAGTATAAATATGCACAGTGAGCACTCTTGAACAAAAAAATGGATATGCCTTCCTTTAAAAAAACCCTTAATGCAGAATCCGCTTCTAACGAACAAGAAGATTCTAGCTCAGATTCTTCTTTCGCTTCTAAAAAACACAAAAAACAAGAAGATTCAGATTATTCTCG